TCTTATTAGTCAAAGTTAGGATCTTATTAGTCAGTTGAGTCTGAGAAATAAAACAAAAAGGCATTTTACACACTATGTTGAAAATGAACTTGGGGAGAGGGGGGAGGGAACTCAGAGAGATCAAGGGAAGAGGTGACAGTGTTCAAAAAGAAATGTACTCTACCTAATTTATGTAACTGTAACCCATATGTACATCTATCATCTTTATAATAACAATTTTTTAAAGGTATTTTACTAAGAACAAGGAGACTAAGTAAAAATTACTGTTAGACTGCCACAGGCAGAATCTGTTTTTAAAAATAATTCAAGTTGCATTAGCTCAAAGTATCAATTATTCACAGAGTTAGGAGGAAAACAAAGGAGGAAGTAACAATACTTGATCGGAAATGTACTCATTACCTTACTCATGTAACTGTTGCCCCTCTGTACAGTATATTTACAATAAAAATATAATAAAAAAAGAAAATGAATAAAATTCCTATTTTAGAGTTCTGATGTTGAACGTGAATAGAATTAAAAGTGTCTTCTGTAATAATGCAATATGAATAAGACTTTATGTTGAATAAATGGAGTTCTTGTAAAAAAAAATTTCAAGTTGCATTAGCTCAAAGTATCAATTATTAACCAAGTCACTAGCTCCATCAAATCCTTTCCTATTTCTGAAAATGCTAAAGAAAAAAATAATCTATGAAAAGGAGAGAAAGGTAAAGGTACATATAAGTTCTAATTGAAGATCAAATATCATTTTGGGAAAATCTTTAATGAGAAAAGGCAGAAATTGAGCATACTAAAGATATGACAAAATATCTCTTCCTTCTTAAATATTAGAAGACTCACACCTCAACTGGATGTTCAAGGATTTTCCTATCTGAGGACAGGAAGCCTACAGCAAGTCCTTTCATCACTACACTCTTATCTCCAGTGGAACTTCAAAGAGAAATACATAAAAGCCACTCTGGTGGATAGTTGGCATAATTAAGCATTTCCACAGACCGATTAAAAAAAAACTGACTTACACATTAAGAACAAATACAGTTCACTATTCTCAGAGATTTGTTTTTTAAGTTGTTCTTCTAGACACCCACAAAACTGAATTTGCAAGTTTTCTAAGTAAAATTTCAGTAGCCAAAAAAACCTATCCAAAAAAGTAATATAAAAATGAAGTAATATGGACTGGTTATAGTGATTCATAATACTTGGAGCTAGGACTGTTGTTAGAAGGTCGGCCTATAGTTAGAGGTCACCCTTGACAAAGTTAGACCCTATCTCAAAGATCCAGCCAGGCATGGTACTTTAACATCTGTAATCTTAGTTACATGGGACTGCAAGTGGGAAGATCACAGTCTGAGGCCAGCCTGGGCAAATACCTGAAAATAAAGCAAAAATGGCTAGGCTGCAGCTCACATAGGGGAGTACCTGCCAACCAAGTGTGAGGCCTTGAGTTCAAATCCCAGTACCACCCTCTTCCCAAATAAAGGAATGAATTCATCTTTATCTTGGGCCAAAATACAAAATCCAAAGTCAATACTCTAATTCTAAATAGTTTTAAAGTAATATAACCATGACCTAAGCACTTTACACATATTAACTCAATTACTCACAGTAATCATGTAAGATAGATAATTAGTTATTTTATAGATGCACAAACTGAAGCGTGAGTTATTAACTTGCCCCAGGCCACACAATCAGTAATGCTAGGAGCCAGGATTTTGACTCAGCTTGTCCAGAAGAATGTTCAAGTCATTTAACAAATTTTACTGAGCGCCTAAGGTATTAACGTCTAAAGTATGTGGGCTAAGTATTAGGGATAAAGCATCGTACAACTCAGACATGATCTCTGCCCCATAGATGGAAAAAATAAGTCTAATAGAGGAAATCAATCAATAAGTGATAACGGTCTATCTTCATCTAATAATAAATACTGGTAGGGGGAGAGGGAGTGAAATCTTCAAGTGCAAAGGAAGACATTGAGGATGGTTTCTATTTTAGGAGTCAAGGGAAAGCACCTCTGAAGACATATGAGCAGCTAGCAGAAGGTAACAATTCTGACTTAAAGGGATGACTCAGGAAAAATGGGATAGCATTCTGAAGTAGGAAAAGTTTGTTCAAATATTGTGAGACTGATGTAGGGTACTGAGGTAACACACAAGGTTAGAAGCTGGCAGCTGCCAAATTGTACAATGTCCTATTGGGTTTAAAATCAATTATAAATATAACAGAACTTCTTCAAGAAAATGATTATTATTTTTTAAAGATCAGTTATGTGGGGAATAAGAGAGCAAAAGATACAAGGACATCCGTGAAGACAGTAATCCACAGTCTAAGCAAGATACTAGAATTTATGTCTCAACTTGTGTATAGTTTATATACAGATGAGATACTAAAAGATGATCCTGCAAACCTAACCATTCACAAAAAAGACTCATGAAACCCTCCTTAACAAAAGATGAACAAATGAAGCAGTGGTACTCACTAGGCAATATGTGGGTGGGGAATGGGAGGGAAAAACTGGCAGAGAGTGAAGGAAGGGTGACAACATTCAAAATGAAATGTATTCATTAGTTGACTTATGAAACTAACCCATCTATCACTTTTATAATAAAAAAAAAAAAATAAAATAAAAACTCTTCTTGTACTCCCCTTGGAGACACATTTGGGGAAAAAAACAGGTTTTAAGTATCCATTAATATTTACATTAATGGTTCAGCTGGTACTATTATACGAAACAAAAAAATTGTGTGTGTGTGTATGTGTCAGTACCCAGGTTTAAACTCACAGCCTCATGCTCGTTTGGTTTTTTCCACTCAAGGCTAACCACAGCTCCACTATGACTTTTTACTGGTTAAATGGAGATAAGAGTTTTTGCCTGGGCTAGCTTCTGATACTCATGTCTCAGCCTTTGAAATTCTCAGAAACTAGGATTACAGATGTAAGCCACTACTACTAGTGCCAAGTCACTTTCTTTAGTCTACAATTCATTCATTTAGAGACAACAGTTACCTAACATTGCTTGTGATTATAATTTTCCTTTCATGCTTTTTGTCTGGTTCATGCTAGATAGTAACACGGAGTACCCACTGTATACTAATCTTACAAGGTATCTTTCATCTAAGAACTCATTCAAGACTGAAGTGCCCAGAGTGGAATATAAGGTCTTCACTCTATGAATCAGAAAAAATCCCGTATTAGTAATCTAACTTGTCCAAGGTCACACAGTTAAGTACCAGAGCTATCAAAGACCAGACTAGCCAGGAGCTGATGGCACATGCCTGTGATCCAGGTATTCAGAAGGCTGAAATCTGAGGATCACAGTTCGAAGCCAACACTGGCAGGAAAGTCCGTGAGATTCCTATCTCCAATTAACCACCAGAAAACAGGAAGTGGCACTGTGGCTCAAAGTGGTAGAGTACTAGTCTTGAGTGCAAAAGCTCAGGGACAGAGCCCAGGCCGAGTTCAAGGCCACAACCTACCAAAAAAAAAAAAAAAAAAAAAAAAACCAGACTATTAGGTGTACACACACACTTATTACCAATGATTGGATTGTTACTGTATTTAATTCTCTTATGCAAATGATTTGTGTTGCAGGTAAGGGAAATGGAGTGATTCAAACACTGAAAACTATTTCCTACTTGAGCTTATAGACGGAATCTTGTGAGTTCTCACCTTAAAAAAATCTTAAATATGTATTGGTAGAAAAAGTTAAAATTTAAGACAAAAGACAAGGATGTGATAGAGCCTGGCTGCAGAGGACCTAAGAGACACAAGAGGCTAGGGGGTAAAAGAATAATCATCAGACCACAGGATAAATGGCCAACAGCCCCATACTAAGAACATTCCTGTGAAGTGGGATCCTACAAGAAGGACCGTTGGTGAGTTTCCAAAGAGTCCAGCACAGGAAGTGCAGGTAGGAACGAGCTAGGAATAGTTGCACAAGCAAAAGCCAAGGGGGATATGAGGGGAAATAGAGACCCTACATTTGAAGAGCAGATGGACGGTAACCGTCGTCGAGTTACTATGTGTGTGTGGGGGGGGGGGGGGGGGGGCTTACTCTCTGGCTAAGCCAGAGATCCGAACGTAGGCGGCGTGAACTCTCCAGTCCCTCACCAATGCCTTTCAAGGGCAAAGTCGTTTCCACTAGTTTCACTTTCATCATCCGGCTTCTACGTGGTCCGCGGTGGGCCGGAGAGGCCAGAATTTGGCTTCTTAACACCTGTGATTTTGGTTGATCAAGAGCGCCGCAGGTCTACCGCGGTCAAACAGCAAGGCCCACGGCCCTGGGGTCCACGCCGGGACCCAGTGCTTCCCGCGGCGCGTGGCCGGATGGGGGGCGGGGGGCCTGGTGAGGACGGTGGGCGCGAGGCGCCCGCCTAGCCCCCGGGACGGTGACTGCGCGGGGCAACGAGTAAACCAATTGCCTCCGGACGCGGACTCTGGGTTCACTGGGGCGGGAGGACGCCGAGCCGAGCGGCGCCGGGAGGCGGGGAGTCGCCGGCGTCCTTCCAGGGCGCCCCCCCCGCCACAAGCCGCCGACTCCGGCGGAGCGGACGCCCGGGCCCGAACGCGCGCGCGAATGAATGGCGCGGGACGATGCCATGGCCAGCCCGGCGCCGGCGCAGGAAGCAGGGAGTTCGCGGCGGCGGCGGCGGCGGCAGGACGCCGAGCGGAAGAGCCGCGGGCGCCGGCGGGCGGCTGACAGCCGGGAGCGGGTGGCGGCGCCGGAACCGCCGCGCCGTGGAGGAGGGGGTAGGGGAGGTCACGCGTTACATAACCCGGCAGCCGCCGGCAGCCCAGGCCGCAGAGGTCGGGCCGCGAGCGGGCGGCCGGCCGGCGCGCCTCCCCGCCGCCCCCGCCCCGCTCCCGCCGCCCCGCGCCGCCGCCCCGCGCCGCCGCCCCGCGCCCCCGCCCCGCTCCCGCCTCCGGCCGCGCGGTCCGCCGCGTCTCCGGCGACGCGTGCCCGGCCGCCCCTCCCCCATCCCGCGCCGGCCCGGCCGCTCGCTCACCTTCCGCTTTGCCTCGGACCACCATGCCCGGGCCCTGCTTCCACCTCCGGCCTCGCGGGTGCCGCCGCCGCGTCCTCCGCACACAGTGCCTTCGGCCCGGAGCCCAGAGGAACGCCGACGGACGTGGTCACCCGCCGCACCACGGCCCACGCTCCCCCGTCAACGGCGACGCCGGCCTCGAGCCTCCGCGGCGGCTCCCGCCCCTCCCCCTCCCCGGGCGCGCGCGCCGCTGGCTCCGCCCCCCCTGCTCCCCGCTGCGGCGGCCGACCGCGCCGCGCACGCGCCCGGCTCGCGCCCGGCCCCAGGCGACCCTGGAGCGGCGGGTGCGGCGCGGCGCTCCGCCCCCTCGCCGGCCCGCCTTCCGCTCGCGCCACCGCCCCGCAGAGGGCAGCGCCTACGGAGGCACGTGACTGTCTCACTCGGGGGGGGGGGGGGGGGGGGGCGGGGAGTCCGGGCCGCCGCGCCCCGCCCCGCCCCCTCCGCGCCTCCCGCTCTGGCCGCGGCGCCGCTGCCCGCTCGCTGTAACCGCGCCGGCCGGCCCACCCCGCCTCGGGCTCCGCAGTCGCGGTAGAAGCCACAGGGCCGGCTTCAAAGCCTGGTGGCTCGGTGGAGAGACGCCCCACGCCCGGCTCGGCGGCACTGCGATCGATGTGCAGTGACATCTAGTGGAGAACCCGGCGCGCGAGCCGGCACGGGGGGAGTGGGGGGGGGGGGCGAGGGAGAACCGGGGCCCACGAAGGCTCGCGGGGGGCGGAGGGGGGCCTGCAGGCCGCTCGGCCGCGCCAGGCACGGGCCCCATCTTCTGAGTCCCTTGACCGCGGGCCCCGGATGTTTGTGATCGGTCCGCAGGTGTTCTTGGCCTCATCCCCTGCAGCGCCGAAATCACACGGGAAAGCAATCTGCCTCTAGTGTTAACAACAACAACAACACTGGATCACGTATGCTTAAATGCAATTCCAATTAAGGGCCAAAGGGCCCTCTTCTCCCCTTAGCCGTGTCGGTTGGATAGGAGACTGCGTGGTGGTCATAAAAGTCCTAATGAACACACGGGATGCCAGCCTTCCCACAAAGGCGCCGCAGTTCTTTATTCACACCTTTATCGGAAGTAGTTGAAAAGTTGATACTTAGCAAATAATCAGTATCCTTTTCAAAACTAATTTGCAGAGCTGGGTCTTGTTTCCTGGCAAAGTAGAGGGTAGCTTCCCCCGCTCTTTGTCTTTTTCATCTTGTAGACTTAAATCCACTAACTTCGGCATTCTCTTCCCTACCCCAACAGTCAGACTGCATGGTTTTCTGGGATCTGTGAGTTAAAACAAATGGGGTGACTTCAATAGTCACAGCCAGTTGCCAAATGCAGCACCAGACAGGCATGTTCCAAAACGGCACAGGAAACCAACCAGTGACAACCCTTTATTAATTATAAGGCTCCTTTTAAAAAAAAAAAAAATCTATTTCTAAAGGGCAGTTATTTCCACTAAAGAGAAATGGCAAAATTTGATTTTCAAATTGAAATATAACCTGTGAACTCTACAGGAAATGCACCATTGGATTTCCACTGCAGTTTTGCTTCTTACTCTTTGTAATCAAGACCCCCCCCCAAAAAAAAAAAAACGTCCTGCATTTTCTTAAGCAAGAAAGAAGCTTGTAGCTAATAGACCATGGCAGTACTTTTTTTTTTTTTTATAGAATGTAGGTAAACTATATAAAGTGCATTTTGGTACAAACTAGTAGTCAGCTTCCAAGTATCTTGTTTTCTAGATAAAATAGGATAAAAAGATGTAAAGAACAATAAAATTGTGGACAAACTCTAGAGTCTTCGTTATTAATAAATTCGTTCAAGTTTCGTTTTCCAGAATGGTGTGATTTATACCACCCCATAACATCTGAAGACTTTTCAACTCACTCATTCATTCATCTAATTCTATATATTCTCATCAGGATTATCTTTCCCACCTAAGGGGAGATGACTGACTTTGGAGAAGGCAACCGATATGGCTAGTCTGTCCCCCCACCACACACACACACACTTGGGTGTGCTTTGGGGCTTTGGGGCACTGTGTATTTTCTCTGTTTTCTAAAGTTTGTTAAAATTCATTTTGAAAATTCAATCATGAGTGGTATCTCAAGGGTCCTATGACAGTGCAGACCAGGACTGCCCTTGTAAGGACATGTCTTCTGCTAGTGTTTTACCTCTGGATCTGTCAGTAAGCCCTTTTTAAAACATCCATACTAGTCTCTCAAGGACCAAAAACAAAAAATAAGCACATGAAACCATTAAGAAAAACACAGGTTTGTAGTCAAGTCCTTGAGGTGATGCACACACAGTGACTCACTACATGATGATGCAGATTGTTACAAGACCTTCTGTAACAATGAAAGGTGAAAACAAGAAAAATGAAAATAATGGAGAATGAATTCATGCCCACAGACACAGAGATAAGAAGTGGAAAGCAAAATGGGTTTGCCAATACATATAGTAATATCACACCTTTCATGAAATTCTGGAGGATTCCGCAATTAACTATGTACAAACATTCTGTATGCTACTCACTTTTATGTCAGAAGACACAATGCATTTATTTCCTGCCCTCAAAAAACGGTGATAAGGAAGGCAAATAGATAAATACACCTGCAGCACAGGTTCAGAACTACCACCTGAGAACAACCTATGGAACAAAGAGAGAGCATATCAGGGTGACTTCCTAGACAAGTGGCATTACCATGTGGTGAATACCTATAATCCTAGCTACTGGAGAGGCAGAGCCAAGAGGATCTTGGGATCAAGGACAGCTCCAGCCAAGTTAGGAAGTTACCATGTCAAAAATAAAATATAAACCAAAGGACTGGGTGTATAGTTGAAGTGTGGGACTCTTGCCTAGCAAACATCTCCAGCACCAAGAAGGAAAGAGGGAGGAAAGGGACAGTGGACCACTCAGTAAAGACTGAGAGACTAGTCCAGTTAGAAAAGCACCACTTTCAGAGGTATGGGCATGTGCGAAGGCAGAGAAGGGTGGAAGGACAGGGAATATTCAAGGAAATACAGACTGTGAAGTCAGAGTAATATGTGCTGTGGGGAATGATACACTCTGGTAAACGAGCTGGAGTGGCCAGCAGGAGTCTGAGCAGGAAGGGCCCATGAAGTGTCTTAATGTGTTTTCACTATTCTGAGAGCAAGGAGCTCTAAGCATGTAAGTAATAAAGTGGTTATAGAAAGTCACTCCGGCAGCTTCCGCAGCAGGCAAGTCTTGGTAAAAGTCCAGGCTTACAGGTGCATCCTAGAAGAGATGAGATTGGATCTGACCAAGGTGAGAGTTTTGAAGAGCAACTACAACAAAGTGAGAAAAGGGCAAATAAGTTGAGGACATAGGCAAGGGAGGGATTCTAACAATTGATCGTGAAACCCAAGCTGAGGAGGAAAGAGAACATATTAAAGGTGGATACAGATTGGTGAACAATGGTGCTAAGGGATAGTGAGGGACATTTCAAAGGAATTTGGGAGTCAGATACTAAAGGGCATGATAGTAACAAGACTGAAGAATTAGTGGCTATCATAGGATGGAAGACAAAGTCACTGGAAGGGAGAGAAACTCAAGGATAACGAAGGGCCAGAGTAGAGAAGGATCATCTCTGTGCATAGACTAGAATCCTGATGGAGAGAGAGAGACAGTGAATCAGAACACCATTTTGGTGACTTCAGGGCAAAAAGATGAATATCATCCACTGGTTCCAGGTCTAATACAATGATGGCCCTAGGACAGAGGTTTCCAGAATTTCTTTTTGTGACAATCTCTGAATAATTTCTCTTTTCATATCATCCCAAGGCTAATAAACAATTTGGATATTGGTGACCTAGCAACTTGGTAACTAATTTTTAAAACCATATACATACTATCTTAGTATCTCAGCAAAGTTACCAAGATACTAAGTTATCATAAGATACAAAGATAGTATTTCATCCTTAAGTGATCATTACTAATGGGACATGTGTGCCCACTGGGCAATAGAGCATTTCTCAAACTTGGGGAAAACATTGTGCATCATCCTCATTCCACACTATTCCACTAACAGGAGTATATTTTACACTTTCTGTGTACATCAAATACCATAACAGGAGGTAATGGCTTTCCCACTATAGTGATACTTAGCCAAATCACTTGTCTAAATGGTGACAGCCAGATCTTTCCATTATAAAACTGGCAATGCTTTGTTTTTGTTTTGAAATCACGTTCTTGTTTTGTTTTGAACTTTGCTTCCTTGCTTATTGCTGCCATGGGAGCCATGCCTGGTGTTTTGGAGATAGAGTCTCACAGACTCTTCTCCCCTGAGCTTGCTGAAATTGTGATGCTCTGGATCCCAGCCTGCTGAGTATCTAGGATTACAGGTGTGAGCCACCAGTTCTGATTAGGGTAGTAATGTTTTTACCAACAATTTTGTTATCTGACAGATTCAGTTTCTGTTCATGATCCTGTCCTGAGCCCATTTTATTGGATATCAAATATTCTAATTCCATAATTCCTTATGTGCATATAGGTGTCATTATTCTTCAAAGAAGTTTCTCTTACCTACTTAAAAATCAGAGCAAATGCTTAGTGCTTTCAATTTAATCACTAATTTTTGTATAAAAGAGTTGCTTAATAATTACCTCCAAAGGCAGTAAATCAACTTTTTCTTTATTCTTCTTTCTTGTTCTTGAAAATCCTGAAGGATTTTTATTTCTTATAATACATTTTATTTCTTATAAACTTACCATCAAGGTATTCTTTTTAATGCACACATTGTCTCATATTTGGCCAATGGGAACCTCTTGAAATTGGGAAGAGCCTTCTCTAAGAGAAGGACATTCTAGGCACAGAAAAAGTGAGATCAAAGGCCTTGAGTAGGTTCTCAAATATCTGAATATTTGAGGACAATGATGTTGGTAGAACAGAGTAACAAGGAAGAAAAGGGTTAGAAATGAGGTCAGGGTGGCAGAAAAGTTGAATTTTTATGCCATGTATGATGCAGCTATTGAAGAGGTTTGAACACAAGAATGATAAAATAATCTGACTTACTATTTTGTGTATGTGTGCGTGTGTGTGCACGTGTGTGCACGTGTACCAATCCTGGGGCTTGAATTCAGGGCCTGGGTACTGTCCTTGAGTTTCATTTTGCTCAAAGCTAAAGCTCTACCACTTGACCCAGAGCTCTAC